CTCTCCAGCAGGTTGACCCCAGCCTGGACTGGTGCCTGGGGTTATTCCTCCCCAGTTGCTGTTTCAGCTGTGAGGAAGATGAGGGTTAACCCACGAGCAGGGAGTGGGAAGCAGGATGCTCTTTGGGAGCAGCCCTCAGTTTGGTCAGACTAAGAGCACTGTGAAACAAGATATTCACATCTTCCTTACATGACATCAACTACAATGCTCTCAAACTGATAAACAATTTGTGGAATAATCCTCTCAGGGCTCAGGCTTGTCTTGGAAAACACAGATCCTCTCAAGGAGGGTTAAAAGAAAAAACACATGTTCTGGGGCTTTTCAACAATAATTTTTCTACTCACCTCTCACCTACTCAGTCAATCCTCTTTAAAAACTATCCAGCTTGTAATTATTTCTCAGGAGACAACCGGCAGGTCTCTTCTCCTGTGCATGACACTGACAGGATGCTCTTGTTGTCACTCCCCAGGACCCCTCCTGTCACAGATTCCAGGGCTTATTGAGCATCCCTGCTGAGAGCAGCAACATTCACCTGGCAGAGCTGGGCCAGCTCCACAGGGATCAGGCGAGATGTTCTCAGTGCAGACTGTTCTGTACCCTACAGGCAGACTGACACATGAACCACACTCCTCACTCTTACTGGCAGCACATCCACCTTCATGGAGAACAACCTTTTCCTACACTGTGTGGCCTGAGCAGCCCCCAGAAGGACAGGTCACTCTCCTCCCTCAGGACAGTGCTGCTTTTCAAACCCCGCGGCCCCCAGTGCTTCTCAAACCCACACACCAACTCCTCGGTGCACCCTCAGCCCCACCATTCCTCAGCCCACCCAGTCCCCTCAGTCCCAACATCCCCCTAAAGCCCCCCATCCCCTCAGCCCCTGACATCCCTCAGTACCCCAGTCCCCTCAGATCCTCCAGTCCCCTCAGACCCCCCAGTCCCCTCAGTCCCCCAGCTCCCTCAGCCCCCATCAATCCCCCTCAGCCCCTGCCATCCCTCTCAGCTCCCCCAGTCCCCTCAGCCCCCTCCTGCGTGGCCCTCGGAGGGT